TTTCTACTCATTTAGGGAGTTAGACAGAATTTGGCTTTCCAGAGTTGGAGATTATTTCTGCTTTCATATTTGGGCTGATATAAATTATGAAAAGACACTTTTCCTGCGGGAAGCGCTGCCAAAATCTCCTTGATTTAGAGGAGTTAGATTATATTTTGACAGGTGGCGATTCTCGCAATCCAACCTGGATAGGGGAGATTCTGCCATTAGTCTACCTTTGCTTTGGGCACTGGTTTAGAGGTAGACTTAGACTTAGTTGGCAGATAACTCTGGGAGAGAATGTGCTATGGAGGTTCATCCCCCATATGCTGATGATTTAGCTTGGGCACTTGACCTATCTTGTGTTACAGGTCCTTTGGGGTGTCTGATTCAAGATCAGGACTAGATTCTGCTTAATCCCTTGAGAATCATCTTTTGTTATCACTGATAACAGGTCGGTTGCCGATTCGTCGGTCTTCGACTAAATTTCAACTCATTCCCCATACTCAACCTAAAAGGCTTTAGCCCTGGTGGGTTTTACTGTTTGTTGAGGGTTTCACCCGGACTTTTATTGAATGACCATTTAACAAAGGTACTAAGTATTTAATTGAGGTTGGTTGGACTGGCAGTTGGGGCTTGCATGGCTAAAGCGAAGGGGTATGAGCATAGAGAATAGTTGGGGTTAACTCCGCGTAGTGCGTGTTTTGTCGCTTGATTTTTGGTGTGGTTGCAGGTATGTCCTGTGACTCGGATTTGGATTTGGGTTGCCTGCGATTTCATATACATATACATGGTTGTGAGGAGTCTCACTGTGCCTGTGAGAAGTGATCGTCATAACTTTATTCCCCTTCCATATGTGTGCGTAGATATACGTATGATGAGTGTTCGGGAGGCCTAAGAGGTCATGTTAACAACCGCGTGAGAGTTGGGATTGAGGGACAGGAAAGACCCTCCGTTCTGCCTATTTGCGTCTTGGGGCTTTCTTAGTCAAGCGTTGGTCCTGGGCCGGGATTCGAGGTCCTTGTCCAGGACATCCCAAGCCCTAGGCCCTGAAGAGGAGGAGCCTCCCCTTGCATAGATCCTATTTACTTTGGCCGGCGGGACACTCCACCTGAAAGGCGGGAACGTCGCGGGGGCCGCACGGCGTGTCCTTCAGCCGTTCAATATCGTGAGGGGTAACCCCTCGCGATGAGTTTCTTCAGCCATTCAATATCGCGAGGCCTAAGCCGCGGTTACCACATATGATTGACATTAGTGGTTGGCATAGGGTTGGCCTGCGGCCGCGCAGTTTTATATCAGAGCCCTGCGCGCGACGCCTCGCCGCCCCCAGCGTCTAAAAGTTAAAGGACCACCGGGCATGCGCGCAGGCGCAGCGCTTGGGATTATTATAGGCCGCCGGCACCGCCCATAGAGGGGAAGTGCGTCCTAGGGCCATGAGTTTTTATTTTAAGGGTCAGGAGACCTTTGCCCTATCCCCCCTTCTTGGGTTCGTGCGAGTCTTGTTGCTTCTTAGAGATTTTTATGGTTGGACGTTGTAGTCCTTGGCAGCCGTCAAAGTCAAACCCCTTAACTTTCGCCCAGGCCCCAGGGAGGACTCACTTCTAGGGCCGCGAGAGACGACTACCACCACAGGCATGGGCCTGTGTACCACCCACTCTGCAAAAGGGTGCAGAAGAGGGTGTGTGGTCTTCAACCGCGCATGGTGGTTGTCCAGCGTCGAGAGATTAACCCTCAAGGCGCGCGTCAGCCGACACTTGAGTGTCCAACGTGACCTTCGAGATTAACGAGGACCGCACGAGTATGGGTACCACGTGGTACGCCATCGTTGAGACCACTTGCGTGCGCTTGCATCGTGAGTCGATATGAGTTAGCCCTGAATCCGCGCGATTTTTATACTAAGTCTCGCGCGCGACGCCTATCCTATTTCCACGTCGGGAAGTTATGGGTTGGCTACCGAGGGGCTAGGAGCGTTGTCGCGTTGTTTGCGTTGTGTCGTTCCGTGTGTATGTGTGCGTGTTGTTGCCGTGTGGTTGTTAGAGTGGTGTATGCGTGGGGTGTGGGATGCGTCCTAGTCGACCGACGACGAGCCGCGCTTGGGACTTCAGCCCCCCAAGATGTCGGTTCGCGTGCGGGTCCGATAGGCGTATTACCGCGCGTACCCGCTTTGCTACAGCGAACGAGAAACGCTCTCGACTGGTCCACCTCTGCGATTGCAACCAAGTAGCTTTCGTATTGTGGACTGGTAGCTCGGCGGGGATACGCCCACCGAAGGGAGGTGACAGCTCCCGTAAGGTGGAGGTAAGTTGTGCCTCGCGTAGGCCCTATCCTGTCGTAGGGGCTCGCGAGAGGTATGGCTGGCGCACTCGGCCGGAGCGGCCTAAGGAAGCTCTTTTTGTGTGTTCGTGACGAGATTGGTCCAACTCCTGCGTGACGCGGCCGAGAGGGTCCCGCGCTGCCTCGCGCGGTGCCGGACCGATGCGCTGTGAGCTTTGAGTGAAAATGCGCTATGGAGGTTTATCCCCTATATGTGATGATTTAGCTTGGGCATTTGACCTATCTTGTGTTACAGGTTCTTTGGGGTGTCTGATTCAAGATCAGGACTAGACTCAGCTTGATCCCCCGAGGATCACCTTCTGTTATCACTGATAACATGTCGGTTGCCGATTCGTCGGTCTTCGACTCAATTCCAACTCACTCCCCATACTCAACCTAAAAGGCTTTAGCCCCGGTAGTCTTTCTGTTTGTTAAGGGTTTCACCCGGATTTTTATTGAATGGCCATTTAACAAAGGTACTGAGCATTCAATTGAGGTTAGTTGGATCGGCGGTTGGGGCTTGCATGGCTAAAGCGAAGGGGTATGAGCATAGAGAATGATTGGGGTTGACTCCGTGTAGTGCTTGTTTGTCGTTTGATTCTTGATGTGATTGCAGGTATGTCCCGTGACTCTGATTTTGGATTTGGATTGCCTGCGATCCCATATACATACACATGGTTCTGAGGATTCCCAATGTGCCTATGAGAAGTGATCGTCGCAACTCTATCTCCTTATGCGTGTATGCGTGGGTGGGTTTGTGATGAATATTTAAGAGGCCTAAGAGGCCCATGGTAAAATCCCGTTTAAAGGCTGAGGCTGAGGAACAGGGAAGACCGTCCCTTCTGCCTATTTGCGTCTTGAGGTTTTCTTAGTCGGACGTTGGTCCTGGGCCGGGATTCAAGGTCTTTGTCTATGACATCCCAAACCCAAGACTCTGCAGGGGAGGAATTTCCCCTCGCACAGAGCCTAATTATTTTGGCTGGCGATACACCACACCTTGAAGGCGAAAATATCGTGGGGGCCGAACGGCATGTCATTCAGCCGTTCAATATCGTGAGGGGTGACCCCTTGCGATGTGTTCCTTCAACCATTCAATATCGCGAGGCCGAATCCGCGGTTACGACGTACGATTGACATCGGTGGTTGGCATAGAATTGGTCTGCGGCCACGCAGCTTTATGTTAATGTCCCGCACGCGACGCTTCGCCGCCCCAGCATCTAACAGTTATGGGATCGCCGGGCTCGCACGTAGGCGCAGCGCTTGGAATTACTATAGGCCGCCGGCACCACCCATAGAGGGGAAGGGTGCTCTAAGGTCACGAGTCCTCTTAAAAGCCATGGCACCTTTACCCTATTCCGTCTTCTTGGGTTCGTGCGTGTTTTGTTTGCTTTTCAGAGATTTTTATGGTTGGACGTTGTAGTCTGTGGCAGCCGTCAAAGTCAAACCCCTTGAGTTTCGCCCTGGCCCTTGGGAGGACTTACCCCTAGGGCCACGAGAGACGACTACCAACACAGGCATGGGCCTGTGTACCACCCACTCTGCATAAGGGTGCAGAAGAGGGTGTGTGGTCTTGAACCGCGCATGGCGGTTGTCTAGCGCTGAGAGATTAACCCTCAAGGCGTGTGTCAGCTGACACTTGAGTGTCAAATACGGCCCTCGAGATTAACGAGGACCGCGTGAGTATGGGTACTACATAGTACGCCATCATCGCGACTTCTTGCGCACATTTGCATTGCTAATCGATATGAGATAGCCCCGCGTCCGCGCGGTTTTATATCGGGTCTCGCGCACGACGCCTATCCGATTTCTGCGTCGAAAAAGTTATGGGTTGGCTACCGAGGGGATAAGAGTGTTATCACGTTGTTCGTGTTGTGTTGTCTTGCGTGTGTGCATGGGCGTGTGTTTCTATTTTATATTTGTTATGAGTGATGTGCATTATCGTGTCGTTTCGTATGTGCGCGTGGTGTGTGAGATGCGTTCTAGTCGACCGACGACGAGTCGCGCTTGGGACCTCAGGCCCCCGAGATATCGGTTCGCGTGCGGGTCCGATAGTTGTATTACCGCGCGTACCCCTTATGCTACAGCGAATGAGAAACGCCCTCGGCTGGTCCACCTCTGCGATTGCAGTCGATCAGCTTTCGTATTGTGGACTGGTAGCTCGGCGGGGATACGCCCACCGATGAGAGGTGACAGCTCCCGTAAGGTGGAGGTAAGTTGTGCCTCACGTAGGCCCTATCCTGTCGTAGGGGCTCGCGAGAGGTATGGCTGGCGCATTCGGGCGGAGCGGCCTAAGGAAACTCCATTTGTGTGTTCGTGTCGAGGTTGGTCCAACTCCTGCGTGACGCGGCCGAGAGGTTCCCGCACTGCTGCACGCGGTGCCGGACCGATGCGCACGACAGGGGGTGTCGTTGCCGGGGATAACGGAAGCCTACCGTTGTCCCTGGTGGAACGACATCCGGGTAAATGAGGGAGAAGAAGGCATATGCGTAGATAAGGGGAAGATTATACGATGAATTGTATGGTGGTCTATATGACTGTGGGTGTGAATATTTGATTGACTGGCGGTTTGGCTGATGGCGTGGATGAGGCGAGTGTGTGAGGAGACTTTATGGTAAGGGTAGGCCTTATCTAAGTAGGCCTAAGGGAAACAAGAAGAGAAATGTCTGCCAGGTCTAGAGCGTCGAATATTTGAGGGGTCAACTCGGTAGGGTCGTGGGGGAATGAACTGCTGAGTGGGCCCTTTCGTCCTATCGTTTCTTATAGCAGGAGGTTTGAAGTCGGAAGTGGCTGATCAAAATGCAAGAGGTGATGGCGGACGGTGGGAGGAGACTCGTGACACTTGACAACGTCATCGATGCTTTGGACAAGCGCGAGAGGGCGCCAAGCAATGATCCAAAGGTTGAGACATTCCACTTCAAGGGGGATCGAGTATCTGACTGGTTGGACCTGATAGAGCAGGCGCTGGTAGGACTGTCAGATGAAGTCAAGCTCCAGCGGGTCCTAAGGTATATCTTGCATAGTCACCATCGGGAAGTAAGTAAGGTCATGGACGCCGCCAATGGCAGTTGGACAAAGTTTGGGGACCTGAAGCGGAGGAAGTACAGACTGGGGGATGGCCTGTTGACCATGACCAACTTGGAGCCCATGAATAAGGAAGATTTCTCTACCATTGGGGCGTTTGTGCACGAATTTAAGAAAAAGGCGAGGAAAGTGCACGGGATTTCAGAGGAGGCGCAGTGCGCCACATTCCTGGGATTGCTTACGAGCTCGGAGGCCGCAGAATTGACAAAGCATGGGGAAGGGAGTGAGAAGCTCACCTGGGCAACTATAGACAAAGGAGTGGAAGAAGGGAGCCTGGACCAGGTGGAGCAACACCAGATGCGACTGCAAAGGCGTAAGAGGAAGGAAAGGGATGCTACCGCATCCGGGACCCCAGGGGTGAAGAGAATCGTCACGGATGTGTTAGCGGCACTGGGGTATGACAGCGAAGCGGAAATACAGAAAAGGGGGGTGGCGATGGCCTAAGGCCGGGCGTCTGGAGCAGTGGATGAGGAGGCCGGGCGCGAGGACTACGGAGGAGGGGAGACGGGCTCCCAAGCCCTGACTAAGGCCCAGAGGAAGCAGCGTAACCTGCTACTGGGAGGGCAGGGATCAGGGAAGGGGCAGGCTCCCCAAGCCATTGCCGCACCGCCGCCTGTCGCCGCGGCCGCGCCAGCGCCAGCGCCAACAGGGCCATCGCATATGGGGCCACCACCAGCCTGCGGGCACTGGGTGCCGCATTGTCAGTCTGCGCCCTGGCCCAACTGCAACCACTGTATTTCGTGTGGAGGGGGTCAAGCCCACATGGGGCACATGGTCCCCTATTCGGGCCCATCGGCAAGTATGGGCCCCCCGAGCTACCCGGCGACCCAAGGCCAGCCTGTGGCCCAACCGCCGCCCTCCCAGCAGGCCTCGCAAGCTAGTGTGGCTGGGGGAGGGAGTCAAGGACAAGGCGGGCAAGGCAATGGGGGCCGGGGCCAAGGAGGCTGAGGAGGGGTTGGCCGGGGGCGAGGAGGAAATGGTGGGGGCCATGGGGGTGGTTGGAATAATCAGGGAGGCCAGAGCCAGGGTGGCCAGGGCAGCCAGGAGGGGGGCCAAGGGTATGGGAGGCCCCGCTTCGATTGGCGGAACGCAACTTGTTGGCATTGTGGCGAGGTGGGCCACACCATACGGTTCTGCTAACAGCGGCGGGACGATGAGCTGGCAGGAATGATCTCCTCCTGTATGGACGGGGACATATACGATAGGTGGGGAAAGCACATCGATCCTAAGACCCCGGGAGGAATCAGGCAGGAAGCCCTCAGGCGAGCGGCGGTAGGGCCTCCAGCAGCCCCAGCAATGTTCAGGATATGGCAGGAAAGGCAGGACCCGGGTGTGAGAGTCGAGGTAATTGTGGATGAAAATGAGGAAGTGACTCAACGGCTGAAGGCGGGGACTATAAAGGAGGAACCGATAGTCGTTGAGTCGGACGACAAGGAGTTGGAAGTGGTGGGAGAGTATGCCTCGACCATCCTTGAAAGGATGGAGGACCTGCTTACAAAGGTCGGCAGGTACCAGGAACGACTGAGAGTGATGTGCGAAGAGGCCCGGAAATGGGAAATGAACCTCCCTGAAGTGATGCTCTATGGATCCGGCCCGGAGTCGTCATCAGGACCGCAAGGGTGTCCCAGCGTGGCGACAGCCGGGGTAGGTCCTAGGTCAGGGATGACCTTCAGGCCCCCTACATCGCATGGAAGGGTACCACAAGCCGCGCAGACTAGGGGCCAAAGTAAGGCTACCACTAGTCAAGGGCCCAGCCAGGCACCTGGTCGGGCGCCCCCTCGAAGGGAACCTGAGCCGGAACGAAGGAAAAAAATGGTGGAGGTTAAGGAGGAAGAAGAGGAGGGTGATGACGAAGAGGATGAGAGGCTCCGCCAGGAGGAGGACCGGCGAGCTAAGCAGAGGGCCAAGAAGAGAGGAGTTCAGGGAGAGGCGGAGCTGATCCTGCGCGTGCATGTGTGTGTGTGCGTGCGTGTTTGTGTGTGTGTGTGTGTGTGTGTGTGTTTGTGTGTGTGTGTGTGTGTGTGTGTGTGTTTGTGTGTGTGTGATTGGG